CTCCCTACACTTTCATTTATTTTTTACTTGACAGTGAAGATCCATTTACAACCTACAATATTTTTTCCATGTTGTAACTCTGCAAATGCCCAAAGGTTATTCTTTTTCAAGGGCCCAAATTTATGCCTCAACTACATGTTTTCATGTTGGAGCATATTGGACAGTTCGAAACTAGCACGCTATCAAGGTTTGTTACAAAAGCCTTGTAGTATGGTAACAACTTCTCCTAGGCTACATATCTTTTAATTGAATGATCAGTGCACCCATAGATACCTTTTCTATTTGCAATTGATTGACTAAGGTCATCAACTATAGGTGTAAAAGAGTCATGAGTTGAGAAATTCATACCACTATAATTATCAGGAAGATTTGGTTCTGACTTTTAACAGTCCCGAGTATGCAATGTCCTCTACATGCTCAGTCCTCCTTCTGATGTAGACATGAAATTCCTGATCATTGGAGTTATGTTAAGGTGGAGTAGAGATAATTGTGACTTTTTGTAATAGAATTCGATTCTTCAAGTGGAGTTCATTGAGGTGGAGTAGAGATTCTTCAAGTGGAGTTCATTGAGGTGGAGTAGAGACCAGTGGAGCCAGTTGAAGGACAATTTTTGGTTTAGTTAATAGAAAAAAAAGTTGGAGTATCTTGAAAAAAATCATAAATCTAATATTTCCTTAAGCTCTCCCTCTGAATTTTAGACTTCAAAAAAATAAGATTGATTCACAAGAATGATGATCTCCATGGATTTGTATATTTTCCTATTGGTTTGAGAGTAGCATCTATACATTTTTTTATTAGATGAGTAACCAAGAAAAATACATCTGAGAGACCTAGGATCAAGTTTAGTGCACGGACCACCTCAAGTAAGTGTCTGTTTTTCCTTTTTGTGACCCCATTTTTGTTTATGGATAATACCATATTTGAAAAGATAAAAACTAATAATGAAATTAAAGTATTCCTTAGTGTTATTAGTTTAAGAATTTGAATTTTGTTTTGAAATTGAGTGAGAATCATGGAATGAAATGATTAAAATATGGAGGTTGTTATGGATTTTTCATTCATAAGGAAATATTATTCATATGTGCTCATCTAAACAACAGCAATAAGCACTAAATGGAGTCGGATACATTAATCTTTTTTCTCCATTGTGCCCTATTGAGTGTAATATTTTCATTTAATTCTAATAAATTAATATCATCTTTTATACAATATGTCCAAGTCTTTCTAGTTTACCTCTACCTTTTTAACATAAGTAGAATAAAAAATATCTACTCTCCTAACAAGATCATCAGATGGTTGACGTCTTATATGATCAACTCTAAATGATACAAATCTTTTTATCCCGTTATATTATTTACTTGTGAAGACCTCAAAAAATCACTATGAATTATAAAAAAAAAATTATGTGAATGCTTATATTGCAATTTGGAATATACATTACTGGAATGTTTTGCAATTTAACAAATTTCACATTAATAAACATTGGATTTTTTTAGTGATCAAATAAATGTGAAAATATTTTTTTAATGTAATCAAAATTTGGATGACCAAGACAATGACTCAACATAACTTTCAACTAAAACAAAATTTGAATTGCACTTAAAAATACAACTTCATGAATGATATTACTTAAAACGAATTTATATTTTTTTAGCAAATATAGACCACCATGCATCACAACACTGTTGATCACCTTTACCGAATCTACAACCTAAAAATCATTATAATTGGAATAAAATTTAGTGACATTTGAGGTCACGAGCATGCATGTTGATCGAGAGTAGGTTGCAATTTAATTTTGTAACATAAAACATAGAATAGAGGTGATGATCTTTTGTCAATTTAACAAATCTAGTTCTTGATATTTGTGAGAATGAACCATCAGTTCTTCAAATAAAAGAGTGACTGAAACAAGGGTTATAATTATTTAAGACATTAATGTCTCCTGCCATATGATCTAAGGCTCGAGAGCCGACTATCCAAGATTTTAATTTATTGCTTTGGAGACTAAATGTATAGGATAACACCTTGGTGTACTAACAAACTTACAAGTTGAATTAGAACTATCACTAAATATTTCTTTCAATGCCTCAATTTGTTCCCTGATGAATGAATTGAATTCTGACTTTTTGTTGAAAGATATGATAAGGACTGGAGACAATAGACGCGAATGTAAATGTCACTTTCAAGGAAGAAGATTGTAAGGTACTATCATGTTTGACCATGATAAGATTGTAAAGCTAGAATCGAGAAACCCCGATGCTCGAACAAAAGCAAGAGATGGATCCTTAATTTGATTGCTCAATTGAACGGGTGAATAAGAACTGAAGGAAAGAGAACCCTTAGTCCAACGACGCAGCTGAACAAGATAATAGGAACTAAAGGAACAGGGTGTGAGAATTTGTAAGTCAGTGACACATGAGTAGGTGGCTAGGCAATTCAAATCGATTGCAAGCTAAATCAATCACTGATTTAGTGGACAAAAGAAAGAAACAATCTTCAGAAAAAATTATTTGTGAAAACTGAACCGAGCGTTTGAACAACCTACAAAAATTCATCGTAAGAGCCGAAGCACAGTTATGAGATATGTTCGAATGGACCGTATGCGACTCGTGTGAACGAAGAGGAAGATTGTTGTCATCGGATATGTTCAAGACAGCGTTGTTGAATGAAACATGCGAATGAATCAATGGGTTGATGCAATCCTGTGCAGATGTGAGACGAACGACATGGTATTGTGATCCCAAGCAATTTGTTCAAACTGGTCAAGCGAAAGACCAAAACGGGGTGCTTCCTAATCTCCCTCAGCACAACTATTCTGGGACTAAACCAATAGTGTTTTTTTCACACCACCGGTCGCAGGAGATGGATGTTTGTTTGAAATAATCGCTACTAATGTTGAATGCGCAGAGAATATCTCAGCTTCAACCTCAATGACTCAGAGGACAATAGAAATGAGCAGCAGCTGAGGAATAGTTGCAATCCGAAATGGGATGAATTAAATTGGCGGCTCTAATGCCATGTAAAAATTCCTAAAAGAATTTTATTTTTCATTGACCCCCATGCATTACACCTTGTTATATAGATATAATAATGAAAGAAACCAAATAGGAATCCCTCCAAAATTAGAAAAGAATAGAAAAAGGAAACACAAATAGTGAAATAGATTCAGATGAAAGGAAATATTTCCTAATACAGATTTGGCGCATTCCAAAACTTCGAATTCAAGTTCTTGTATCGTATTGTTTGTACGATTTGCTTAAATTACATGAAGATAATCAAATAATGTAGTTGTTAATTATAACACTTGTAACTTTTTGTTTATGCAAATAGAAGATATATAGAGTTTAAACTAGGTGATAAGTAAATTATAAGCTTAAATTATGTGATAAGTAAATTATAAGCTTAAATTATAAGTAAATCAACGTTCCAACAAGAACCAAACAAAATTAAATGGGAGAAGGCCATTTAGCATACTACAATGCATTGGAACTAATGAATAAAAATTAGAAATTCAAGAAAATTCTAGCATGATCAAGTTTAAATGCTTGATTACACCTTATTTCATAAATCAACTTTAAGAAAATATATTATTCGCTTTTGGATATCCTCCTAATAAGTTAGGATCCAAAACCTTGCTAGACAATTTTACATAGCTTTCATCTTAAGTTATAATGGATGATAGAATAATATTCAATACTGATGATAGACACTAGACATATCTTGTGGACTGAGACCATAGCTTGTTTGTGATGATTCTTGCCCTGATTTGCTTAAAGAATATCAAACACAAGTCAATTTATTTCCATGTCAGCCATATTTAGTGGAGAACTGAGGTTTTAGACTAATCGCAAGCACAAATCTGGTTCATTAAGATGAATCAATTAGTAATTTGATAACTTACGAACTACTCTATTTTCATTTGTAATTTAAAATTTCAATTTGTTTAAGCCATGCATTTGATAATTTTGTCAATAAAAAAAGGATGCCTTCACTTGTTCTAATTCCTATTGGTTTGTTTGGGTTGATTCAAGCTAGTGGAACTTTCTTGCGCCAATTGATGGTTTATAGGTTCTATCAGGATAGTTTGGTAGTTAGTTAGCGAGACATCAATACACAGGTTCAATTGTTGGTTCGCGCTTTAGATGATTCACATACATGCCACCCAATTCTTATGTATTTACATATCTATATCACCTAAATGAGATACCTTTACATACATGCCACCCAATTCTTATGTATTTACATATCTATATCACAACTATTTAAACTTTTAAATATTATTTATTTATTAGATTATTAAGAAGTGTCAAAACGATCCATACATGATCAATCAAAAGTTTGTTCATGCTCGGCTCGTTTATAAATTGAGCTCAAAAAATTTATTGGTGTATGGCTTGTTTGCTTAACAAATGAATCAAATCTGAACTACGTTGTGAGCCGAACGCGAGCTGCTCGTGAATGAAGGGCTCTTTTGACAGCCGTTATTACAGGCATAGAGACAAGGGCATTTTTGAAGAATAGGTACTTTATAGTCTGTAGTAACTAAGCCATTTAAAATCTTCAATATATTGAAAGAGGTCAACAAGTAGAAGAAAAAAAAACGTTAGTCCGCTAAGCGATCCGACCAAAAAAAAAAACTGTAATAGAAAGGTATGAGATTATAATATTTTCTATTCACTCCTTCACCTTTGATGTTTAAAAAGAAAAATGCTAACATATTTCCCCAGCCCAACCAATAGGCACGATGCAGTCTTTAAACAAAAAGTTCAAGAATATCCACATCGCCTACAATAAAGCAAGAATAGCATATTGAACTCCCCATACCAATCTTCTAAGTTAATAAGCCCATAAGAAGGATGAATATCAGAAAATGGTTGAAACATTTACGTAAAAAGGGTAAGTCAAAGGATACGAGCTTAATGAAAAAAAGGGAAAAAAACAATATTTTGAAACTGCATGGATGAAAGTAAACAGATGCAAGAACAAAATATTAGTACCCCACTTCCTCTTCCTCTTCCACGCCCCCTGTTGCTTTCATAACCGACTGAAATGGCTCCATTAGGCTGCAAATGGGGGGAAACTACGTTAAAAAGTTAATTACATATCGAAACACTTTAAATCGAATATGTGATGTGAAAATAAAAAATTTTATACAATTATAATGTATAAGCAATAAAGATATCGACAATACATTTAATCTAGAAGTCCTTTAGCATCAAAGTTTCATTAAACAAACTAAAGATTATCAGAAAAGAATAATTTTCACCGAGTCAAATTTTTAGGGATCATTAGACGCTACAGTATCATGCACGTGTACAAATTGTGTGCGTGAAAGTAGAGGGAAAGGGAATCAATTTTTACAGCTCACAAAACAAAAAAAATAAATAAATAAAAAAAGACTTTACATGCAGGATAGTGTTCGCAATTCCATTGGTGGCGAGATAACCTGCCACACTTGCCTAAGAAATTATAAGAAAATACGCTCTTTTTTATATAAAAGTAATCAAGAAAGTCTAGTTCGTCAGAAAAAAGTAGCAGTTTATTATCTGCTATACATGATACAAAAACATTTAAGAAAAAAAACATTTTGTACAATCACATGATGGTTCAACGGCCTTGGAGCTAAGACTAAATTTTAATGATAGGAAATTAGGCCAAAGAAAAGATTCCGGCAATCTGTGATATGATCATGACCCAAATTATAATCTTTAATTGTTCCAAAAACCAAAGCCTGAAAGACAGTAGTCAGAGGATGCATAGAATTCAAGCAAACCCCAAGATATCTCACCGGGTAGATGCATATGAATGTATGGAGGATAAACAAATTCAAGAATGCAGCATATTCTTCAAATTTACATGGAAAATGTCTTATGACTTAGTCCCTGTATCTAATAACTCATTCTTAAAGGGTCATTCACAAATTAAGTTAAGGACAAAAATAATTGCCATACTACTTGCAATATTTCATTTTAGTCTCAAACTATATAAAAGGCCAGACACAGCTCCTAAACTCTGTAAAATCAGAATATTTCTCATCTACTAAAGATTGAAATTAGTGATATTAAAAGAATGTGGGCAACATTTTTTCGCCTAGAATTTTTATAGCAAACCAAATTTCGAATTTATCTCATTTCTTCATATACAGGAAATAAACTTGCCTACAACAAAAGAAAAGTAAGATAGTATAGGTTGTAAATAATTAATTTTTTCATAATAAAAATTTTCTTCTAATATTTTTGTTATCTTGATTCAATTGTAATAAAAATTTAAAATCAATGTCCTTAACAATAGAATTAAAAAAAAATGTAAAATAAATTATTTATTATGAAAATTTAACACAGTCTGCAACCTAGATCATCTCAATCTACTTATATTATATCGGGAGTTAGCTTCTATACAAAATAAAATAAAAAATTAAATTTATAATAAAATTCAAAAAGAAAAAAATACTTTTCTAAAATACCCTATTTCTAACACCATGAGTTTCAATTTCTCTGTTTAGATAGATGAAAAATTATGTAAATTATTTAAAAAATATAGATACTAGGGGTGTAAAAGCCCCCTTGGCTAAATCTTGAGCTTGATTAATTTTATCGATTTAGAGCTCAAGCTCAAGCTTAAGTCAATGGGCTCGAGCCGGCTCATGAGCCACCTTCTTTATTATAAAAGAGAGAAAATAATATTAATGTTATGATAAAAAGACAGATAGAATAAGCAATTAAGAGATAAATAATAAGAAATCACTTAATATAAAATACAAAATATTATTGTTTAAATATTTTTAAGCTTAAGTCAACGGGTTCGAGCCGGCCCACAACCCGATTTGTTTATTATAGAAGAGAGAGAATAATATTAATGTTATGATAAAATGACAAATAGAATAAGCAATTACCAGATAAATAATAAGAAATCACTTAGTAAAAAATACAAAATATTATTGTTTAAATATTTATAATACTTTATAACTAATGTCTTCAAATTTAAAATATTTAGAGTATAATTTATATTAATATTTTTTTAAACAAACCAGTTCACGAGCTAAAGAGTCGAAACGGCTAACTTGAGCTTGGCTTGTTAGCTCATCGAGCCAAGTTAGCAAGCATCATATTGAGTTCAAGTCGGCTCACGAGTCGGATTAACCACACCCCCAGACTAAATCGAAAGTAATATGATCACTCACAAATAGTAGAGGGACCACTTTGGTTCTTTATAATTTTCACAGATGGCTTACGAATGTAACCTAAGCCCTTTGTCCATGTCACAAAGTTCAGTTTTCAAATCCAAGATAGTTTGGCGCAAAGCAATAGTACTAGAAATTTCAACAGATGCCATTTACAGCAGACCAATAAATCACTGATTATCTACTTGCAAATGGTTGCAAAGTGTTAGTTGGTATGGCTTACACACCAATGACTGTAGACAAAAAAGAAACCTGATATCAACACTAGAAGTGGGTCCTCATTTCCGAAATAAGTACATTTTTTATGTTTCATGACACATAACCTATCCATAAATTGATATTGATGGACTGGATCAAAATAACAAATCATGTTGTTCTTAAATAAGCAATAGTTGTAAAAACTATTTTAACAAGAGCTTAAAATACAGTACAGTGTTACCACTATAAACTAAAACAGCAGCTAAATTAAAGAAAAAAATATATATAAAACTATTTTAAATCTTACTCAACAAGAATACTTGATTAAAAAGCAGTAACAGTGCTACCACTATAAACTAAACCAGTAGCTAAATTAAAGATAAAAATTTGAGTTTTCATACTAATAAGATACATGTTAATATCAACTAATAACTCACCATTGGGGTAGAAAAACAAGCATAGGATGTTCTCAGTGTTTTACAGAGAAAACAAAATGAAAGAAAAAACATCAGCCCAGGGAATCATGCCAAACTCTAACATAGTATAATAACACACCATTGCAATATACTTGATTAGAATAAAAATTATCAAAAAGGAAATTAGCATTTTGTAACAGTGTTGGATAATAATCAATCCCCATAATGATAATAGGAAAAGGCCAAACCTTATGATAAGCAGGGGTAGGTAGTGGCAGGATCGACTCCTTTGCTACAGAAGGAAGCCTAGCCTTATTAGTTTCTCGTTGTAGCGCTACAGGTTCAGGTAACAGTGGTTTACTCTTATCTTCGTGTGGTTTAATCTCCACCACTTTCAAGGTCTTCTCTAATGTTTGTGAGGAAGGCAGCACAGAAGGATTAGGCTGCATTAGCTGACCAGGGGTCACCAACTTAGTAGATGTTTCAGCTTGGTTTGAACTGGATGAACCCAGACTCAATGGAATAGACTGAGTTTCAGTCTGATGAGCCATAGAGGTAATAGAACTAATCCTAGACTTTCCACTAACAACAGGCGGTATATTTTGTGACACGGATATGAAATTATCCATGTTTGGAGTTAATGGGGACACAGATGGCAAGCTTCCACTTGGGGTCACAGAAGGAAGAGAAGTTATGGGACCCTTAACTGAAACCGAACTTTGTGACACTGCCGGCAAGTTTCCACTTGGGGTCACCGAAAGAACTGTAGTTACAGGGCCCTTAATTGAAACAGAACTTTGTGACATCTCAGTAGAAAATGATGTAGCTTGGAAGGAAGGTAATGTTGATGGTAGAGCAGTCGAGTTTAAACTCATGTTGCTGTTAACAGTTGAGAACAAAGGAGAGAATTCAGGATAACTTGGCGTCCCAGAAGATAATGGGGCATTCATACCCTGAAATTGCAGAGTCTGCTGCATTGGAGGCATAGCTAGCCCGGGAAGTGGCCGCATTAGAGAAGGTTGCTGTAGATGAGGAATCCCTCCTGAGGGCGCATAGTATCCTTGCCAAAACATTGGTGGTACTGCAAGCCCAGAACCATTTGCATTTGGTGGAGGCGGTGTGGGGCCCCAAGTCCCTAAGTTTCCACCCGTTGGATATTGAGGCAAGCTTCCTTGGAAGGTTGGATGCTGAAGTCCCACTTGCCCTGAGTGGGAACTAAGCTCAGGTGTGGCTCCAGTTCCAAGAGGAGGCAAACTTGAAGGTGCAGCTTGGGGACGAGGATAGTGAGACTGCACAAAAAATTGCATCTCAATGATTAAATGCTCATCAGAAGTATCATATTATCCAACTCTGCATCACCTGAATAATTGCAGGATCATTGTGAGCAGGTGTAGTTTGAACAGGTGGTGAGGCCTTGACCTGTAAATCCTGGAAAATAGCATTGAAATAATTCAGCAGGCGGATAAATGGTATCAATCACTAGAAACAAGAATCTATGAACCAAAATTATAACAATGCTGAATGTGATATGAAAAGAAAACGCGTATGTTCAACCAAGGCATTACTAATGAAAACATATGATTCAAACCATGATGAACTAGAGGCCATATGAAATCTAGGAAGAATCTAAAGGAAATATATATATATATATATATATATATATGGAACAAACAATAAATTGCTAACCGCATGAACAGACATTTCTTTGTGAGCTCAAAGTTGATGATTACAAGCACATATTGGAAGTTTACTTGAGATGAATGAAGGTACAACGTATCTATACATCAACAAAACAACAGAACATTTATCCCACTAAGTGAGGTTGGCTACATGAATCATTTTTCTCCAATGCGTCCTATTTATTGTCATATTTTCATTTAATCCTTATAAATTAAGATCATTTTTTATACAATATGCCCAAGTCTTCCTAGGTCTACCTCTGCCTTTCTTAACACAAGTTGAATCAAAAATATCTGACCTATATCTACTCTCCTAATCGGATCATCA